CATAATCAAAATGCTAACATTCAACATCAAATAAAAGGTTAAGAAGGAACTCCCTTCCGCCTTTACTGGAAAGAGCGATAGCAGCTATCGGACTTGAGAAACCTCTTTTCCAGAAAATTGTTATAAGGGAAAGATTTTATATATTTCAATTGAAATTTTCGGTCAATGAAGGATGAATGTTTCCTTATAAGGAAACAGTTAATATCGCCATTGCCATTATGAAAGTAGGCGTGTTGCGGGCAAATGATAATTATGTTAAGTGTTTAGTGAGAGTTTTTCATTTTTTTTAATTTTCCTGTATTAAAAAAATGACCTTTTTGTCCGTGATCAAAAATAAAGGGTAAACTTTGTGGCTGATTTTATAGAACTCCCCCCCACACACACACGCACACACACACGCACACACTTACGCCTACAAACACGAACACGCACACACACGCACATCCACACGCACACATACAAACACGAACACGCACACACACGCACATCCACACGCACACATACAAACACGAACACGCACACACAAACGCTAAAACAAACACACACACATACAGTCACACACAGAAACACGACGTGAGCATGAATATACATACACACACACACAAACACACACACAAGCACAAAATTCTCATCCCGACGCTCTACACAAAATCTGAACAAATAACTAAACATGAAATTTTCAGGGGCATGAGGTAAGCATTTCTTGTTTGGGACAAGAATTTTTCAGCATCCACTCGTGTGTGTGTGTGTGTGTGTGTGTGTGTGTGTTTGTGTGTGTGTGTGTGTGTGTGTGTACTGGCGTATCAAAAGTCATGGGATGGTTAACAAATACAGCGTTGGAACCGCTTCAACGCAGCGAAGTGCGGCAACTTGAATCGGATCGATTTCACAGAAGATCGGAAGACTCTAAGACATAGTTTCTCTATAAATGTCCACGGAACCTTGATATTTGCAGGTGAAGTGCGAATAGGCCTCTTCAGTATAAAGGTTTTTATGGCTACACCATTTCTGGAAGTTTCCATAATGCTCCACAGATTCTTCGCAACTTGCAACTATGCATTATCCTACTGAAGTATTGCGTCGTTGCTGGGATACATGGCGTCCATGAATGAGTGCAGTTCACCAAAAACTTTAAATATAAATATAGACGGACAGTGGACCCAATCAATTTCACGTGAACACCGCCTACACCAATATCAAAACACTACCGACGTACAAAACTGGGATCTATTGCTCTCGATGCGGTCTGCGCCACAGCTGCACCGTAAGCCCAGCCTGAAACAAATGGAACAATAATTCATCGACCTACCCAACACATTGCCAGCCCTCGACAGTTCATTTAGCGACTACCCATACGAGATGCTGTGTGCGGTGTCGTGGTGATGTGGTGTTAAAAAAAAAAAGGCATCTGGGTAGTCATTCTGCTCCCCTATCATATAGCAAGCGAGTTGGTCTACTGGATATGCGTTTGGTACCTCATGTAGCGTGATTTGAGCCAATTTCGATTGTCTGTTACCGCAAACAATTCTAACCAAACGCCTCTGGTCATGATCATTATGGAACCGTGATCGGCCAGTGCGTTATCCACAATGGACAGTGGTTCCTTCTATCTGGAAGTTATATAATATCAAGTTTTCTAAATATTTTTATTTGGCTTACACATAGGACATACATTTTGCATTATTTACTTTTTAGCTACAACACCGATTTTTCGGTAACCGATGTCTCATAAATTCTTTTAAATCGGATGAAGTTGAAAGCAGGCATTTATATTTCACGATACTTCTCTCACTAATTCACAGAGCGGCTAATGATTCTGGGAAAACGGTCGATTCCTTGTACCACTGCTGCCAGCGTCTAGCTCGTATTTTCACTACCTTTGCAAGAGCCAGATCAAACCGAAAATGAAGCACCGTTGTCATATATGGGCAGAAATTGTCTAGTCTTCACTTCCCAGTCTCGATAAAGTTCAAAAGCGCCTACGCATCCTTGTGGGTGATGAATTATTTTCCAACCTACAATCCCTTTCCCACAGCAACTCTCTTGCTGCTCTTTCGCTTTTCCCGGGAAAAGTGTTCATACGGACTACATTCCTTAGCGTTACCAGTTCTGACATTCTACGGCCAAGACCCATCGTGATATGCCCAGTTCAGCAAATCATCCTCTCTAGCCCTTCGTGAAATATATGTTCCACTCGACCAGCTTTTTCCCAAGAACAGTTGGTTCGTGGAACTGGCGTTCACCAGGACACTTCTCCGATCACCATAATCTTAACCGGTCCACGTCTAAGGTTAACCTTTATCGTCCCCACATATCCCATAAACTCTGCCTCTTACTCTGTAACACTCTACATCGAGTAGTTTAATAGATTGTACAGAGTGAATATCATTGTGAAAAAAAGTACACATACAGCATCATAGAGCGTAGGTTATTGAATATCACCATAATTTTAGAAATACTATAGCCCAACTGGCACCCACAATTATCATTCGTTCGAGCGCTGATTATTAATAATAGCCGATGTTCACACTGACAACAGATATTACGACATAACTGATATAGGTATGGGGATTTACATTACGTCATAAATATAATACATTGCTTTTGGCACGCCAGGGTAGATACTTTAATATTTATCTTAGTTTGAAACTGGGTTTGAATATGAACTTGGTGAAGTTTTAAAAGTCATTTGGGTTATAAAAGGCAGAACTATTTATTTATTTTGAGATTTTCTTCGCGCTGAAGAAATGTGCTTTTTTTTGTTTTGTTTTGTTTTTTTTTGTTTTTTGTTTTTGTTTTTTGTTTCTTTCTCGAACGACATCTTTCTTTTGTTTCTTGCTTTAATATGCACCTTGCCTGCCCAGAAAGGCAGGCCTTTCTCATCCATCTTCCGCGACGACATAATGATAACTCTTCAGGATTTTTAAGAATACTTTTGATTCATTTTTTTTTTCACTCCACTATATTCTTTAACTTTTTACGTACTAAATCGGCACACGCAAAATAGATATGAAAATGTATACGCATGCGCACGAAGCAAAATTAACTGACGCAAAAACAACACTCAAGGAAATCAATACACACACATACATACACATACACACATTTGTGTGTATGTGTGTGTGCGTGTATTGTTAATAGTTGGCAAATTATTATTTTCTTTTTGTGCTTCGATCATTTACTTACAACACACACACGCACACACAAACGCACACACATGTGTGTGTGTGTGTGTGTCTGTGTGTGTGTTAATAGATATCAAATGATTACTTTTCTGGGCTTCGATCATAAACTCAAAATGCAGACAGATACGTACAAACACACAGAGGAACACATACACAAAATCACGCTGACACACGCACACATATATACATACACATATATATATATATATATATATATATATATATATATATATATATATATATATTGTCAATACATTGAAAATTTCTTTTCTTTTTGAGCTTCGTTCATTCTTCCACATAAATATTAACTCAGGGACATCGAACAGATACGCATTTACAAACACGTGCACGTACCCACACCCACCTACACACACGTACACACACACACACACACACACACATATATATATATATATATATATATATATATATATATATATATATATATATAAAATAATGTTTACCCTGTACAAAACCCAAGAGCCACTTTTATATATATATATATATATATATATATATATATATATATATATATATATATATATATATATGGATTTATTTATCTAGGTCTGCTCTACGGTTGTATTGAGCTCTTTGTTAGTTAGTTGTTTACTCGTGTCGGTTTTTTTTCTTTCGGCTTCAAACCTGTATTTTGTGACAAACTTTCATGTTTCTAGCTCTTTCTTTTTTTAAAACCTTTTTTTACCCTCGGGATTGATTTGATTATTGGCAAATTAAAAATTCGAGTATTTTTCGAAACGTGTATAGTTACCTTTTTTGGACACAGAGTGTGTAGAAACTGTCCAAATGTTCTATAATTCCGAGCGCTTTCGGCTATACTTTTAGCCATTATCAAGGATGATTTTATTTTTTTCGTTTGACTGTGTGAGTTGTGTGTGTCTTTAGTGTTATAGAGATGTTTTATCGTCGGCATTATAGAACATTTGGACAGTTTCTGCACACTCTGCGGCGAAAAAAGGAAGCACTTGTTCGAACACAAAAAAAATAAATAAAAAGGTTAATCTCCGTACGTTGTCTGTCGTTTTTAATGAAACATTCATAAATGAAGGGTTGCTGCCTAAATATCCAATCATATATATATATATATAGTCCTTTTGATAAGTCAGGCTAAACATAATGGTGGAATGTGTGTCTGTGTCAGAATGACATTTATAAAAGGCAATGTTCTGATGTTCTCTGTATTGAGTTTGACCCTCGCGTCTTCTGTATTATTATCTCCAATCAAATGTCAAGAAATGATCGTATTTTCATCTATAATTTTTTTCGGGGTATGATGGCACGGAGAAACTCTACGGTCTTAAAGAAACCGTTCATGTTTTGAATAAAAAACACTTAGGTATGATCTTGCAAATTTCGGACATTAAAAAAAAAACCGTCGTATTAAACCGATTGGCATCTGGTCTCTTTTAGTACCATATACTAAATCGTTACAGCGTTTCCGTAGATCAAGTGACAAAAGCATGGAACAATAATAATTGAATGTGAAACAGGATCAATCGCCCAAGCGTGGTGTTGTGTACTAAATCAGCCCTTTTTAGAAAGCTTGTTAGACTCATTTCTTCGATTAGAGTTCGATTCTTAATTTCATATCTTACTTACCCGTTTTATCAAAAACCAGAATATAACATCCTTTGCTAGTTTGAAGCGGTCCTTTTGAAATGTTTGCAATTTGGAACTGCTACTCACTGACAAGAGAGAAGAATCTACTGTCTTTTTTTGTTTTGTTTTTTGGTTTTAGTTTTCAGGGAAAAAATGACAGTTTGAGATTCAGATGTTTTATATCCTTTTGAAAATATGACAAAGAGTCATAATCTAATTCGTTTTTTTTTAAATTTTCTATCTATGTATTGCAGTCTGTTCACATCTGTCTGCTTATTGCTATCACAGAGTCTTCAAATCTCTCTCTCTCTCTCTCTCTCAATATCAGTTTATGCCAACTTTGGCGGTATGGCTCAGATTGAGGAATCAGAGTGCTGAGTTCGCTTACGTGCTAATACTCTTGGGAAAGGTAAGACTCCATCGCCTTCTCCTAGTTATGGGTAAACAGCAGAACAGTTTGGGCAACCAATCTAGGAGAAGGAAAAGTCTGAATCCAAATCTCGTGCTGCCTTATAAGTCCAGCCCATTTAGGCAAATACTAGAAGGTAACAAATCCACCTAGCATGTCGTCTCGATAAAAGAAATTGGCCTCCCTGCTTCGAGCCGCGAAAGAAAATAATGGGCCCCTCGGGCTTCGTACAATGGTTCGAGCAAACACGAGACACGACACAGCACCGTGGTCCTCTGATTTCGAACCACTCACCTATGGGTGTATCACAGACGCAACGTCGCAGGCCGACCGCTACACTATCGTAATTTCCATGGCAAATATTTATATAAAGCCCTTTCTTTCGTCCCACCAGGTCGAACATTTTCTGAGTATGGCTGCTATTTACGGATTCGAAACATTCTCCGTATTCCGAAGAAAGTTTCTCCTATAAAGCTTTTTATTTATTATGAAATAGATTTTCGCGTAATTCCTGAATTCTAGAATCTTGAAAAAGTTAAGAATGTTGCATTCCGGAAAGTAAACACGTCAAGGGTCACTCGTTAACTGTCATCTTTATCTTCATAATCTTATATGGATAAAACAACAGGACAGATTGGGTTCTATAGCCTTGGGTGGCAGCCAATCTAGGAGAAGAAAACTATGTATTCAAACCACCTTCTGCTTTCCAGGTCCTGCCTTTATAGGCAAAGCGTAGTAGATAACTTCAAAAATAAATCCACTTCTCATGTCGTCTCAAAGAGAGGAGGCGGACCCCTATTTTGAGCGGCGACAGAAAATAAGGGTCTCCTCTGGGCTTAGTACAATAGTTCGAAGAAACACAAGACTCAGGAATGACACGGCGCCGTGGAGAGATCTGATAGGCCGACCATTTTGGATGTATAACCTAGCCCACTTTAGACGACGACAATTCACACCTTAGTTGGAATCTATCTCCATACCTTTTTCCCTTATTAATCCGTTCATTAATCCGCCGCGAGTTATTTTCTAACCCCACAACCCATTTCCTATAGACGAAATGTCGCCAGCCCCTGGCTACTCTATAGCTATTTCCACGGAATATGTTCTGGCGAACTACATCCCACATGACCGCCATTTCTAACCTTCACAACTAAAACCCGCCGTGTCAGGTAAAACTGTAGCAAACCAGTCTCATTCCCTTCGTAATCTATTGGTAAGCTCAGCTTGAACAACTTCTTCCAACCAACTGCTACTTTGTGGAAGCGACTCCCAAGAGGATATTTTCTCAACCACAACAAAATTAACCTGATCAGCTAAAGAGTTAACCATTATCTTTCTCACGTATCCTCATAAACTTCGTCTGCTACTTTTTTTTTCCGTTCGCTCAACAATCCTCTTTGATTAATCTCAACCTCGAGTGGCTTTTGGTCCTTGTATAGCGTGAACATTAGTAATATATATATATATATATATATATATATATATATATATATATATATATATATATATATGTGTGTGTATTTAGGAAGCATATTTTCATTTATACACGTTTCATTAAATAATATAGATAAGTGTTGTCCATTTATTTTATGTAAATTTTTTTCGTAACATCTGATAAGTTTAATAACATTATCGTTGAACGAAGAAAGAAATTCACAATATTGATCCATATTTTTTTAATATAATCTAAGCTTTCGGCTTACTTGTCCGTATATTATTTAATATGTTGTAATTGACATCTCTGATAATGGCTTAATATTTGACTTTTAAAAAAATATCAATATTGCACTCGATGTGAAAGTTGCGGTTTGGATGTGATAAATACTTAAACCAAAAATTAGTTTCATAGCCTTTCACCATTTTTTAAGTATTTTCTTTGAAAGACCGTCTGAAAAATGTACAGAAATATCTCATTTCCGCAGATTTCTGTTTATAAACTAATTTCAAAATATTACTGTTCCAAGAATAAATGCAAATAAAACTGATATATTTTGTATTAGATACCTTGAATCTCTATCTATAAAAGGCAGGATGTGTGTGTGTGTGTGTGTGTGTGTGTGTGTGTGCGTGTGTGTGATGTGTATATAACGAATGCACGGCCGCAATTTTCGACGGATTTGCATAAAATTTACATGCACATGCTTCAAGTTAGCGGAAAAGCCAAAACTGGCATTGCATTTCCCAACTCCCATCGATAGAGGAAATAATCGATTTTTCATGCTTCTACGACAGTTTTCATGTAGTTTGCGGCCATTTTCTACTGGCCAGAGTGAGAGCCTATAGCTGGCTGCCACGAACAGGCAGGAAGATTCTATTGGCCAGCGTGAGAGCCAACAGCTGACTGACACGAATGTTAACTAGCATACTAGCATGCAAAAAAAAAAAAATCGATAGCTGCATTCGTCACAAGTGGGAAAAATTTAAATTTGCATGGCACTTTACTCCAATTGGCTCATTCGCTTGCTTAAACTGAACGTTGATTCTGATTCCGCAGAACTGGGTTTGGTGGGAAAAAGTATTTGTTGTTAACATTCTTTTTTCATTCGGTTTTTCCAATTACGAGTCCTTTTTTTTAAAGCTGATCGTTTTGTGTTCATTTTGTTTAGTTCTTTTTTCATAACAGATTTAATGTTTAGTATAGAGCTTAGAAAAAATTCGCAGTGTGAGATAGGCAAGAAGTAAGGAATGTAGCAACATCAGCACGGCAAAGGGCATTCCTCTAAAGGCACGGAAAGGCAAAAATATTTTAAGTCAAGTGATAGCGATTGCTGTATGAGTCGTACGATTTTTGAATCAAGCACTGGCAACGCCGGGCCATGCTGCTAGTGTAAAATATATTCAAACAAATATTGTAATTATGAATCACCACAAGCAAAATATACAACTCTTTACTATATTCGATAAGTAAAAAAATTGTAAAAGTTTACAAAAAACGTTATTAAATGAAGTCTTGTTAGATCAGCTTTTAGATCAATAAAAAGAAAAACAGAAAATAGATAAAAGTGTATACAACACTATAATATTGTTGGGTTCAAGTTATAAGATAAAATATTTTAAATTTGTATTATTTACTGAACATTTCACTAGAACTACTGCACTGTATAATATATTACATCATAATATAGCTAAATTGTTCAGTATAACTTCCCTTTGAAGTAAATGAAGGTTTTATTTGATGGCACAATGATTTTTATAATTGTGTTCTTGTGTCATACATGTTGTCCATATACAATTTGTAAAGCTTCAGTAAATTATAAATTTTATAAGGCTGTGTTATAAGGCTTTCACTGATCACCGGAATGAAATTCCAAAGCTACGATTTGGAAGCTAAACTTAATCTTTAAATTCGTTTCATTAAAAAAAAACGGTAACGATTCGGAAAATTGTGATTATTTATTATGTCAAGCCTCAACTTTCAAATTGATTGCAACACTACGGTTCAAAATTCGACCCACCCTAATGTTATGTAACATCAATTCTCCTATATGTTTGTCAATACTGGAAGAACAGACTCGAGGCAAACGAGATGTTGTTCCACAGAAGGACAGTAAAAAATACTAATTTCTAAAGAAAATCGAAACAAAACGGAAAATTATACATAAAATCAGAATGAGGCAGTTTAAATCTATAATCTATTGGAATATATAATGAAAAAGAATTCTTGGAATTAATAAAAACAAAAAAAATAGTTAAGTGTATATAATATCATGATACTGATGAACACTTTAAATTCGCACTGTTTATTGAAAATCACACTAAAGCTACTGCACATCATAATATAGCTAAATTGTTCAGTATAACTTACCTTTGAAGTAAATGAAGATTTTATTTGATGGCACAATGATTTAATAATAATGTACTTGTGCAATGCATTTTCTCCATATGCAATTTATAAAACTTCAGTAAGTTATAAATTTGTCAAGTCTGTGCTATAAGGCTTTCACTGATCACCGGTGATTTTGAACCTAAACTTAATCTTAAAAAAACTCGTTTCATCAATAAACGATAACGATTTGGAAAAAGATATTTTGTGTCATTATTTATCATGTGAAATCCCAATTTTTAAATTGAGTGCAATATCACAGTTCTAAGATGAACCTACCCTAATCTCCTACTCAATCTGCTTGAGTCTTTTTTTCGTACTCGAAACATAAATAAATACGGCAATCATTTAAATGGATTTTTTAAACCCGAAATTGTTTCTGAGAGCCCATTCTGGGTGTGATGATAAACTACATCCGCTTTCTGGATATGACGATAAACTTCATCCGCATCCTGGATATGACGATAAACTACATCCGCGTCCTAGGTTAGACGATAAACTATATCCGCCTCGTAGGTATGACGATAAAGTGTATCCGCGTCCTGGGAAAGTCGATAAACTCCATCCGACAGAAATGCCTCTGCTCAGGAGGTTTGAGGAGCGTGGGCCCATCTCTTAATTGCTGGTCTTCCCAGGTCCATCTTGACCCGGGGTTGTAGCATTTGTTAGGGTCCCAGCTATAGGCAAATAGTTAACCCCAAACTGAAAGTGTAAAAATAGGATTTAATACCAGAAATGCTTTTTTGTAAAAGAAAATTACCAACAATAAATTTTTGAAAAAATATTACCAGTAATAAAAATCTTGTCGGCATTAAGTAACCCATTGAGGTTGGTATGCCGTAAACCAAACCAAACCAAACCAAACCAATCGTTTTTGTGAGGTGCCTGATAAGGGACAACAAGTCATTGAAAATATTTGCGAATATACAGGGTGACCCCAAAAACGAGAACTTTTTAACAATCCAATAAAACCAAGAGTGATGGAAGAAAAATATTTTATTCATAGTAATTGAAACCTTAAAATATGCCATTTAAGAAACAATGATGGAATTTTAATTTTTAAAAATGACGTCCTGTAGATGGCGTCCTCCTGTACGAATGCATTCTTGAAATC